AGTAAGACTAATTGGTCTGTAGGACTTTGGCTGGTCCATGGGTTTATTACCCAATTTGGGAATAAAGATCACATTTACATCTCTCCAGGAGTGAGGGATGTAACCCATAATGAAACATGCCCTAAAGAGTTTGATTAATGGGTCTAGAATGATATCAGTACAATTCTGCAATAAAGCAGGAAAGATACCGTCGCCACCAGGCGCCTTGAATGGTAGGAATGAGCTGATCGCCCATTTCACCTTGTCCTTGTCAAAAATAACACCAGAAAGTGCGTGTTCCAGACGTGTAGGAGCAGTTACTTCTCTGTTTGATTTTGATGTTGATGCTCCGATTAAAGAGCCAGGGAAGTGTGTTTGCAACAGAAACTCAAGGGTATCTTCACGGCCAGTGGTGAAGGATCCATCGGGTTTTTTTAGAAGGCCTACTTCGTTATTTTTGACCTTAGTTAATGCCTTGTGTAGTCTGGCAGCCTCGGGCAGCTTCTCAATACTTTCACAGTGGCTTCGCCAGCTAGTCCGTTTGGACTGTCTGATTGATTTATTGTAGTCAGTGAGTGCAATTTTATATTCAATTCAAATTTTGTTAGTAAATAAATATTAAATATAAATGTTGTAAAAAATATATTGTAAGAATAGAAATAAATAATAAATTAATTAAACTAAAAATAGCCCGCTTTAAAATTATTATACGACGAGAAGGTTCAGGGTTAGAAAGAAATTTTCTTGTAATGACCCTGGGACCTGCGAGCGAAACCTCGGCGAAAAGGTTTATTACAAGTGGCGCCCGAGCAGGGATCCTAAACACAACGTAGTAAATCTCGTAATATAATAACGAGTAAGATCTGGATTAGATACCTGAAAAATGATTAGCTGATTGAATTCATCGAGCAATTCGATGAAGATTCAACAGGAACAGTAGAAAAACCCCGCAAACAACTATCAGTGTTCGTTAAAATGGAGCATTCAACGCAGGTGACTTCACGGCAGACGAAATGGTACCAGGTGTAATGACTTCAAAGAGGATCTATTAAAATTTTTCCTACCTCGTCGCTACTTGGAATGGCTCGGTGATGAAGTCTAGCAGAGACACCAGCAAAGTGAGGAAGACTTCAAGACATTAGTTCTAGAGATGCAACATTTGATGAAATACCTAATATAGCGGGGCAACAACTGGACAGGATATTTCATAACAGTAGATCAGAGTATTAGCTGTACATTAAGCGCAGGGAAAATCTTTGACTGAGTTGACAAACTTAGCAGAGGATTATAAAATCATTCAGATGGAAGAGTGCAGAAGAAAACCTGCAGGCAAAGAAAGACAGGTATCATTTGACCAAGTTGGACACATTAGCCCAGCAAAGATATACTATCGCTGTGACCGAATAGGATACATAGCGAAAGGGTGCCGTAATCCACAAGTTTTGTTTTGTTGAATGGAATGCTGTCGAAGACCAAATGCCCAGGGAAACGGACTAAGATCACGTCGCTTTACTCAAGCAGACCGTAGCACATACCAATTAAACAAAAGGGAAACCACGAACAAATACCTCAGAGTAAATGCACGAATTTAAGACGTATTGGTATCAGCTGCTATAAACACAGGCGTGGCCAGGAGCTTCATAGAGCCCGCAAAAATCAAAGCAAAGAGAAAACACTGCAGTAGAGATATCATCTTAGCAGATGAAAGTATTCAAAGCAAACTCAGGCGCCATCCGGATAGTTCCCCCTTTCCAATGAAGGAAGGGAGTGTGACGACTACAATAAACAACGACGTCGTCACAACAATAAATTTACTATTATCAATAATTAATTAATTAAAAGTGTAGACGTGAAAATTGCTCCACAGCTGATACTGCGACCAGAATAGTCCTATTGTACCAATTTCACTATTGATTATACTTTTTAAAGCTTTGTGAACAAAACCTAGAACTAAATCTAGAGAAGAGCTCTTAATTTTCTGTGCGTTATTAAAGCTGGAGAGGCACAAAGAATGTGCATGGCCGTTTCCTCATCTTCGAGGCATAATCTGCATTCCGAGTTAGCAGATAATTGTAGTTTATGAAGGCGATACTTCAGACCATAATGACCTTTAATGAAACCCGTTATCAAACTTAAATCACATTTTAAGAATTTAAGAATATCTTTGTAGGAGTAAGGTGTTATCAGTGCTTTCCTGTGTTTGAGTCCTGGAAAGTTTTCCCAGTTCTCCAGCTGCATATGATTTTCCATTTCCTTGATATATTAATCTGTTCTCTACTAGCCCAGTTTATTCCACAAAAGGGTTGAGGGCCTATGAAAGCAGTTTTTGATGCAGTTCCTACTAGCTCATCAGCTTTTTCATTTCCCAAAACTCCCCTGTGGCCCGGAAGCCAATAAAGGCTTACCTTATTCCGAGCTGCAAGTGATTGCAGGAGCTCATAACACTCTAGAACCTGTTTTGATTTGAAAGTCCAAGAAGAAAGAGCTTTAAGAACAGCCTGGCTTTTAGAGTAAATAACAATACTCGAGCCAGAAGATTTTTTGATTGAATTGGATCTTACGCATAAGTTGATTACGTAGATTTCAACTTGGAAGACACTCGGCCAAATTCTGGTGTTGGATCCACATACACCAGCACCAGTACCTTCATCCATCTTTGATCCATCTGTGTACCAAACCAAACTGTTTGGGTCAACCTGTGGGCCTCCGTTCTCCTACGCTGAACGTGATGGTAGGTGTACCTCAAATTTTTTGCCGAAACGATGGAGTTCTGTTGTATAGTCTCCATCGCATTGAGGAATTTTATGTGCTCCAAATGATTTTAATATTGTTCTATGAAGCCTCAAGTGCAGCAGTTGGACTTGTCCTCATAGCACCAGTCAGTAAGAGACACGCCAGTCTCTGGAGCTTCGTGCAAACAGTAATAGATCCAGCCTGTGTGGCTTTTTGCCACCAAACCAGACAACCAGCACTTAGTGATTTGTTATATACTTTATTTAAGTGTGAATTCAAAGGTGCTTTGAATTTTGCTGACGAAATGATACTGCGCGACCTCAGTAGATCTGAGTAGACAATTTGGGTAAAGTGGAGAGACGCTCTACTTTATTCCGTAGATCAATCAGTTTTCCTACAATCTTCAGTAAGAACGACGTAAGCCTAATAGGCCTGTAGGACTTTGGCTGGTCCAGGAGTTTATTATCAAGTTTGGGAATAAAGTGGGAGCAATATATTCTCGGTATGATTTTCATATTGTTGCTCCAGTAACGGAGTCAGGGAAGTATGTTCGTAAGAAAAACTCTAGGATGTCTTCACGACTAGTCGTAAAAGAACTGTCACCTTTTTTTAAAAGGCCTTCCTCGTTTATTTTGACCTTATTTAAACCTTTGTAGAGTCTAGCTACTTTAGTAACTTCTCAATACTTTAATAATGGCTGCGCTAGATAGCCCGTTTACACTGTCAGATTGATTTGTTGTAGTTAGTGAGTGAAACTCTATATTCATTCCACCCTCATAAATATTATGAATTGATTTATTATCATACTATTTAAAACACCGTGAATAAGGCATGTATTAATAAGCAAACTTGTAAATAACTGCTGTGTATGAAATTTGGTGATAAACCCATAAAAGGATGGCATCTTTGAAAGCTATGAAAAATGGTACTACAACGAAGAACACCTTAAATTAATCAATAAGAATATGCAACTTGGTATTTTTAAAAAACATGATATGAGCTATCAAGGTATAAAAACTTTTTTGAGAATAATTCAACCCTGTCAAAAGCAATTTATCAAGTTATAGGTATAACAAAGTCTAGTTAACTATGACCTTCCTAAAAATATAATAATCATTTTAGTGACCAATATAGTATACATTATAAAGTAAATTTTATTTGAACAAAATTTTATATGCATAAATGAATTTTACTTTATATCTAGATTAGTATAAGTTATATGTATTGAATTGTATTTATATTAATTAATGAATATAATTTTATATATAAAAATGGATTTTATGAGTATAAGTTATATATTGAATTTTATTTATATAATTTTATATATAAACATGGATTGATTTTATATTTAGACTAGGTATAAGTATAAGATAGGTATGAGTTATTTATATAATATTCTCTGAATTATAATAAAATGTTACAATGTAGTAATTTCGTCCGCATAAAATTTATTTATATATTTAAGATTAAAAAAAAACAAAGAGGCGTAAAACTGTTTTTACAAACAAGTCTCAACGCAGCAGCGAACATCCACACGCACAGCCAGCACAAGTCAAGCCAAACTCACGGTAAAGCCGTTACCTCACAAAGAAATGCATTATTTGTTTACGCACGCGGAATTACACTTGTGCGGTTGTGCGTGTAAATAATGTAGTGAGAATAATTTCACATAAATAGACAACAATTTTGTATGAAAGATCACTTAGCGCCAACACACCGAAGTGAGTAGAGACCTACTTCAACGCTAAGTCGCCAAAACAATTTTAATGTCAGTAGTATTCTGACACTATAGCCTAGATAAATTTGTACCACTAGAGTTTATAACGCCAAATGGCATTTTGATACCTTGTATTATTACAGTTTATACCATCACATGGCATTTTGATGCCATAGACTAGAAGTTACTTGTACCTAATATCATAAATTGTATAATAAAAGTCATTTGTTTAAACTAAAATAAACAGCGTCTTTGCTCTAAACAGTGTCTCCCTGGTCTTTTACTAACAATCGAACCAGTCAATAAACAAATTTATTGCGACGACCCGGACCGCGACTGAGTGATACCTCAGCGAAATTAAACCATGAATCCATGTCGTTACAACATTGACTCATAGAAAACTAAAGCTAAAGCTATATCCTCATAATTTTATTCCATATTTTTTTTTGGTGTTCAGTGCTTATAACAAATATATAAAATTGAGACCATTAGTTGCTTTACAATAAGTTTGTAAACAATTGCTGTTATAACTAAACGTACTTTTTTTCCATTTTAACTTGTTTATACTCACCTTAATTTCTGAATATACGATGTCTATGAAACTTCCGAGAACAATAATAAAATCAAATACATTCCAAGCATCCCCAAAGTAGTTCTGAAAATAAAGTTTGAATTTGACATCATAAATGGGTTGTGAGGAAATATGCAGAAATTAAGTTTTCATATGTATTCAATGAAATCAGAGTGAGTAATATTCAATAAATTGTAATAATAAATGACATCATAATATGGTGGCACAAATCTGTACATTGAACTGAATTTATGTACTGTTAATTAAGCAACAACTTAGGAGTATATACCCTACTTGTTATATTAAGTCTGATAGTTTTATTACAGATACTGACAATCAGTATATCTTTGACGTGTCTAATAAATTTATGGGGACAGATGGGTCCAAAAACATAAGTATGCATTGAGATAATCGAAACAGCTTATAGGTTAACATAATATCAAGAAATTTAAATATTTTTCCAAGAACATATTAGAAACGAATGAATTTAAACTATTTGAGTAAATTGTTTGCCTATTATATTGAAAAATGCAAAAGTAATCGGACGGTGGACATAGAAATCGATGGAGGGAAACGTTTTTTATAAATATTAAGACAGTGCATTTTCACAGCTGGAATTTTAAATTTGGTTTGAATTTTTTAAACGTCAGTCATTCAGTTCTCTTCTTGGTGACAAATACTTCGTAATGTCATATTAACCATGACTACACACAATATACCATGTGCAGTAATTAGCATGACAAATTTACCTAAAAACACTTAAGTTTTCATTTATATTTAATTTATGACAAAGAAACTCCAAATGCCGCTTTTAAATATTTTACAAGTAATTCGACTAGTCTTTAGTCAATTGTTTATGATCCAACCGTAATACTTTTGATTAGATATATGTCACTAGAACACATATTGTAATTTACCAATGAAATAAGTAAGTAGAAATATGGTTATATACTATTTAACCAATAAAATTTAACTGAATAAAAACAATGTTTAAGATTGTAAAAGCATCTTAGCAAACAAGAAACAGAACTGAAGACGGTTCGAAAAACTTAGTTAAGAGTTAGTTTTTGTATGGAGTTGAATACAGATAGTTCTTAGACTGTGTTACAATAAGACTGAACTAAAACTTTGTAAATTACCAGTCTTTAATTCAAGTTTCAAATATAGGTCATACGAATAAAAAACATTTTTTGATATAAATTATAAATCAAAATTGGAAAAGAAAAATATATATGTCTGATTTAAAAAATCAAGTTATATGTATTTGTGAACGTGTAAATGATAGTCATTCACAAGTTCTCGATGGTGAGGCTATTAACTCTGGCAGACATGTTGCTTTTTATTTTATTGTGTCAATCATTTACAGTCGTCAGTTAGTAAGAGTGTTAGCAATGTAAATACGCACAAATCACATAATAGCCGTAATTTTTTCATTTAGAGTTGCAAAAAAATAATTACAGCTTACGAAAGCAAACACGTGAAGCAACAACAATGCTCCTCAGCATTGTCCTCAGAGATAGGTTTTACTCGCAAAAATTTAAGACTAAAGTTTTAGTATGGTCGAATTAAAAAATCAGTCTATTGTGAATGTTCGTATTATGTATATCATTTTGTACATAATACAACAAAACATATATCTCATACCAAAGCATTCAACATATTTTAAAAATGCTACCAATATCTTTTAACCAGAGTTAATATATTTTTTTTTCCTACTCTGAAAAAAAAAATTATAGATAATGTAAGGAATCAATTGTTCCTTACAATGGATAAAAAAGTATACAAAAAACGATAATACAAAAATAGGAGAGCATCTAACAAAAAAACAATCATTAACTAATAGACTAGACAACTCTTGAATTCAGGAGTCCAAGAGAATCACAGATAAGCAATATGTATGAAAACACATGAAAAAAGACACCGAGACATAATATACAATAAGTTTAGCTTATCACCCCAAAACATGAAAACCTTTTTAACACTTCGTTCAATAATGTGTGTGACTGACACATAGATGGCAGCACTAATACTGAATAAATATTTTTTTCGAAAGTGGCAACCTTTTTAGGCTTACTGTCAAAATTATATGTTAATCCGACCATTTGTTTATAAGTTACAGTGCTTTAAGTGACGCTACTTTTGAGTTTTCAAAAAAAATGAATTCAAAGCAATTCCATGTGCTGATTTATAATTGTTTTTTAATGAAAAAAAATACTGTTCAATGCCAGGAATGGCTTCAAAAACATTATTCGGACTCTGCTCCATCAAAAAGAAGCATTTGTTATTGATATGCCGAATTCAAATGTGGTCGTACAGACATCGATGACATTCCATCTACTGGACGGCCAAATGACGCTGTTATTCCGGAAAACGTTGAAAAAACACTGAAAATCATTATGTCCGACCGTAAAGTGAAAGTGAGTGAGATTGCTGACATTCTACAGATATCAGCAGGCAGTGTACACACCATAATATACGAACATTTGGGTATGAAAAAGGTGTTTTCCAAATGGGTGCCGTGTTTGCTCAGACCGGAGCAATAACAGCAACGAATCGATGATTCAAAGAGCTGATTGGACATGTTTACGCGCAATAAGTCGGAGTTTTTGCGTCGGTACATCACGATGGATGAAACATGGATCAATCATTTCACTCCAGAGTCAAATCGGCAGTCTGCTGAGTGGCATGCAGCCGGTGAAATCCGCCCAAAGCGACCAAAGACGCAGCAGTTGGCTGGCAATGTTATGGCGTCTGTATTTTGGGATGCGCATAGAATAATACTCATCGACTATCTCCAGAAGGAGAAGACCATCAACAGCGACTATTATATAGCGTTATTGGAGCGTTTGAAAGACGAAATCGCAAAGAAACGGCCTCATATGGCGAAGAAAACAGTTTTGTTCCTCCAAGACAATGCACCGTGTTAAAAGTCGATGAAAACGATGGCAAAATTGAACGAATTAAGCTACGAATTGCTGCCGCACCCACCGTATTTTCCAGATCTGGCCCCCAGCGACTACCGGCTCTTCGCAGACCTCAAAAAGATGCTCCGTGGTAAGAGATTTGGCTCAAATGATGAAATAATCGCCGAAACTTACGCCTATTTTGATAGCAAAGAAAAATCGTTTTACAAAGGCGGTATCAAAAGATTGCAAAAGCGTTGGAATGATTGCATCTCCCTAAAAGGGGACTATGTTGATGAATAAAAACGAATTTTGGCAAAAAAATGTGTTTTAATTAGTTAGTCACACACATTAATGAACGAAGTGTTACTATATACCAGAGTTCAGAATAAATAAAATTTCACACCAGAAATGTGGTGTGTGAAAATTTTTGTGCACGTCTTAAGTGCACATCTTGTGTGCACAAACAAAACGCACATTTCACACGAATGTGGTGGAGTGAAATAAAACTCGCACACGCATTCGGTGTTTGTACCGAAGTTATTTCTCACAGCATATTGTGTGTGACGCACGCCTCGATTGAGGCGTAATTTATTTGTTTTTTATTTAAGAGTATCACTTAATAGTATTTTACCTAATCTATTATTAGTATTCATTCATATATTTCTGTGGGAACTAATTGCTTTGTATTTAAAAATTTTGTGTCCTACCAAAAGAGTTAAAAATGTTACTTTCTTTTCATGTTTTTAAAGTTCACATTAGCAAATCTTAGCATCCTGCTACCTGTGCAAGGAAATATTTTCCTAATCTTTCGTGTTTTTTAATGAAAGTTAGATACTCTACCTATGTAAATACATATTTTTTGGGAATAAAAATATTTTCTAAAAATATGTTTTTATTTCTTTGGTGCAAAAGTGGTGCAAAACTTACCAAACAAATACGTTAAGTTCACTTACTAAATTTGCATTTAAAAATGCACAAAAGTTGGAAGTAATATACAAAAAACTAATATTTTAAGTAAAAATACAAATAAGGTTAAGACAGTTATAATTTTTAGTTAACATTATAAATACTTAACGAAAATAATTATTTTAAATATTTGTTAATTTATGCAATTTTCAACATAAATAAATATCAATTTTAGGGTTCGTGTTCTAGTTTGAACGGGATATGGTTATGCGTAACACAGTATGTAAATACCTTAAGCCTATGCCATATCAAGACCATGATGCGTGATATATTATCACATCCTTCTCGAGGTGAACCTGTTTTTTCATGTTGGCTATCATGTCGGCATAACAGAACATCATGGATCTAGAGAGGAAAACTCGATAAAACCCGTAATCTCCGGTGTTATTCGACCCGTGCCGATGAGATGAATAGCACTACGTCAGTGTGTTTTTAAACGGAGACCTCCGGATAACTGGCGCCCTCCGGTTGTAATTTAGCCTTATCCGGGTATTGCGGATCTCTGCCCGGATGGACCTTCCCTTCTCCGCAACTCGTGGGTTTTAATATGAATGAACCAATAAATAATAAAAATAAAAATTCTATAGCGGAGAGCTCGGCTAAACAGAGCTCCAAATCTTCGGACACTAAGTGTCCAAATAAGGTACCTACCGCGACTTCCAGTGGTAATAAAAAGGTGCCTCCAAATAATAATAAACAAAACGTATCGATGCGCTCCGGACCACTAATTCGGTCAGGCCCTCCAGGGAGGAGGAGTTACAAGGAACGCCGAGCGGCGACTACACTGCTCGAAAGATACGGCAATATTTCGGTTACATCCGAATCTATGAAGGCCAGGATTGCCTGACTAAGCAGGTCCTCGATACCTCGAAGGACAAGCAGGAACCTGCTACGAAGCGACAGCGCTCATTAGATGAGTCAGCTTCAAAACCTGATGCCAAAAAGGCAAAATTTCGTGGCAACGCCACAAATGCAAAATCCTTTAGCGACATGCCGAAGGGTTCTTTAATAATGGGAGTCATTGATGAAAATGACCCGGATGGCACAATTACACCTGCTAAGTGGGACTTAATTGAGCTCAAGCTCCTTGACATTTATGTCGATCTCCTGAAGGACTTTCCTGGAGACGGTCCCACTTGTCGCGATAGTGGATGGCATCAGGGCCATGTGAAACTTATCGCCTGCGCAGATCAGCGTTCTGTTGATCTTAGA